AATGGGCAGCTTCACATGATGCCATTTCAACAGTGGTCTACTCTAGTCCAAATACTTCCCAAGAATGTCACCATCTCGAAATAAGAAATAATCCTGTAAATAGAGAAACTGTCAGTTAAAAAAACTTATAACAAATACATTAGTTCCAAAGTTATTAAGAGTTCTACATACCTTATCATCTAGAACTACTTTGGTGCCTCCATATTCAGGGAGAAGAACTTTATCTCCAACTTTCACACTCACTGGTTCGATCTCTCCACCCTAAGATAAGAAAATAAAGATGTTTACCATTAGCTTGCAAAACACTTAATTTTTAAGTCACTATAATTAACCAAAGTGTGAGGAAAAACTTTCATTACTAACACCATTTTTACCTGAAAAAATTTAAAGGTCCACCCCCTGTCCCAGTACTCATTATACAGCCAATTCTTCAGTCATACACAGTGTTAACAAGCCAGGTTTCAGAGCCACATAAAGAACGGTCACTTTCAACTTCTTTCAACATGCATAAGTTAAAAAATAAGTTTGAGGGCAACTTCTTTTGTAATTCACTTTCTTTCCCTTCAAAGTTTAGAGGGGGGGGGTTGCAAACTAGATGTGCACCCGAACTTCCCTAAGCTTAACTCCAAGTAGTTCCTTGTTAAAATTTTCTGAGGCAACTAAACAATGCAGTTAAGATATTTGACCCGCAAGGGCATTTATTGTCTTCTGACACACTTAAGAGATTGCAGTTCTAGTTAGTGAAATGCAGAATACCTGGAATGATAAGGCTCAAAGCCACTTCCATCTTAGTGTTACGCCAAGAAACCAAGTTTCCTCTAGATTCTTAAAACCCCGGCACTTTAACTGGAGTACAAGTAACTTTCACTTTATGAGCAATTTTAATAATTTAGAAACCAGTATCCTATAACAGTCATTCCACAATCAAGGAGCCCTGGTGACATAGTGAGTTAGTTTGGGCTGCTAACCAAACCGCAGTTTGAAATCACGAGGCTCCTCGGAGGGAGAAAGACAGAGCTCTCTACTCCCCTCTAAGTCTCAGAAACCCACCGGAGCAGCTCTCGACAGTCTGATAGGGTGGCTAGAATTCAGAATCGACTAGATGGCAGTTGAGTTTCGTTGGGTTTACCTTTCCTTTCGAGCCGGACCCAACAGCAACGACTGTGGCTTGCAGGACTTTTCCTTGAGATTTTTCTGGAAGCATAATGCCTCCTTTGGTTACA